TACTCTTGTAGTCTCTCACTCCCCATCAATTTTACAATCAAGGGTTGAATGCTAAAGGCTGAAGACTAAAGTCTGACGGCAAGGTTGAATGCTGAAGCTCTGGATTGTAAAAATGTTGAATCTGTAGATGGATGAGGCGAAAAAAAAAAAACGTTGAACGAAATATATGAACCAAAAACGTTGATGTATAGAAATGCCTCGATAAAATTTGTCGAAAACGTTCACGTGTTGGAACTGTTGACCCGATAGAATTTGCCGTAAACGTTGACTTTTATGAAGAGTAGACGATCCTCTGTACAGTGACAGGCATCACAACAGGCGAGGATAAACTTCTGTACGGGGACAGGCATCTCAATTTCGCAGGAAAAAATTACTCATGAATACAATGACTTCAGTGCATAACAGATACTAAATCATGACATAAAGTATTTGCGCTTGGTACTTAGGTTTTATAAGTAAGCGAGGAAGATAGTATTCATTTCGAATTCATGGTCAGTGAGGTAAAATCCTGTAAAAAGATTAGTACTTTCACAAGGATTTTCCGGATTTTACCATATATACAGAGAGTGAGTCTGAGAAGTCAGATTTCGACATGATCAAAGCCATCTGATTCAAATCATGCGGTCGACAGATTCTGGAGGACAAATCAGATCAAATAAAGGTCGATAAATTAGCATCGACACCAAGTTTTTATTTCAAAATGGTAACGATCGTGTACAAAATCGTCGTTCTTCGCAAGGTTGCTATCTGGTAGAAACTGCCGGATGAGCTCATCCACTGTAATCTATAATAAGAGTTGTTCTTGACATGAAAATATTTCATATAAGTTGTTAGAAATTTGCTGAATCCATCTTTGATAGAAATTCCACAGTTTCCATTTTTGAATATAAAATGTGTTTACATTAATTTAATAAATGCTGGGATGTCAGTATACGAGCTATCAACAATTAGAGAAAAAATGGGATTGCAACTTGTAATTCACCAACTAAAGGAACAGTACAATTCGAATTAATGCATGTCTCTCTATGTACGTATGACAATGTTGATAGCACAACAAGGCTAAGAATCCCTGCTCGATTAGTATTATTGCCTGAACTTTGAAAACGAATCGATTGTCCGCGAGTCGAGTTTGTATAACTGAAAGTAGTTACACTCTTGCCGTCGAGTTAATTCATCGTTATATTCGCTACTGTACCAAATTCTGAAAGTCGGCCTGCAAATAAATAGTTCGCACAATGAAAATAGAAGTTAAGACAAGAACAAAAGACAAACTTTGTTCCCAGATGATGAAACAATAGTTATTTGCTATTTATTTTGAGGAATGTCTCAGTGTGCCAATACGGTTGAAAATTTGGGTAATAAATACTTCAATATTTTACCCTAGCTAGATAGACGTAAATATGCATGTTGTTGGTTATTACGCGCAAATCTTAGAACGGAAACGAATATTAAGTTCGATTACATAGCTGTGTTTTGTCACTCACACGAGAGGCTGTAAATGATACTTTGGAGGTATGAAATGGAGTTACTAGCTGGTTGAAACCGAATATTTCGTGATTTTCATAGTTTTTAAACACAACGACATCAGGTATTGCTTTCCGCCAAACTATTTCGTTATTAAATATTCGATTCAGGCGACTACTACACGCCCAAATCGTAAACTGCCAACAACATGTGTTTATTTACAAAAGTAAAAGCAAAATTGAATATTTCAGAATTTCTGCACCTTGAGGTGTATCATTGTACTCAGTGAGTTATAAAAACCCATATATTACACCGATATTCGAGTGCAAAACCAATTGTTACATAATCGTGATTTACCTAACGGTGATATTGATACTCAAAAACTGAATCCAGTTCAGAAGGGTTTTCATGGTTTTCTCACATGCTCCAATAAAAGGTGCATATCCAGATTTGTGGCGAGTTAATTGTATATCTAATACGCAACGTAGCCAATCATGATACTCAGTGAAAGAGTCACATTAAGATCAAGTTTGCTTTATCTGTGTAAATTTTCAGTAGCGTATGCCGATTGAAGTTTGTCCCTGGAGACAACTCGTTGTGGTGACAGTTCAGATTAAGCAAAACATTGCTATATTTGAAGTCAAATTCTGTTGCAGCCCACTATAGGGCCCAGGCTGCTAGAAATTTTGTCTTACTGAGTCATCATGCGTTATAATCTCTCTTTCATCTATATTAGAGTGTCAGGCTGCTAGAAATTTTGTCTTACAGAGTAATCATGCGTTGTAATTCTCTTCCATCTATATTGGCGTGTTGCACGTGTATTGAGGCATCTCGAGGAAGAAGAAAAAAAAGCGTTTTTGGTAGACAGCGGGAAAGAAGCAAACAATTATGTACACATGCTACAATTTCGTTGGGATATATATTTATATATTTTTCTTCGTTTCGGGATCCTAGTTTTCTGTTCATTTATGATTCTTATACAACAACTCACTTTGTACGTTTTTCGGTATGTTCCTTACATAATTTGATGGTAGGCGGCATTACAACTCTACTGTTATGAGCATCTATATGCTTGTCTTTCTCATGTGGCTGTTTTCGACTGTGATATGGATTGTAAAAAGTGTTCGCCGAAATTTTTATGTCCTACAGTACATTCCACGTGCAGACGAAATGTCGGCTTCGTAAAAACTTCAAATAGAATCGAAGAAAAGTCACACAAAACAAGAGCGCAATCATTTGTACAGTTGAAAAGTACCACAGCGGATGGCTGTAACTATCCTATAACTGACGCACTGTGTGATAATTGCTTCGGACCGTAACGTTGACATGAAAGCTGATGGAGAAATGTCAAATTAATGTTTTGCTGAATGTCGGGATAGTACCTGGATATAGCACAGCTTAACAATTCGAAGTGGGCATGTGTATGTACTTCGAAGCAAACATTTATCAATGTAGTTTTCTCTAAAAATGTAAACGGGAATTGCAGGAGATACTTATCGATAAGGGAAACCAGTATCAACTTCAAATTTGACGATGAACGTCACTATGCGCATCACTCCAACTAAGTACATTTTAAAATATTTTATACCGATCCAATGTTTAAAATCAATATTTACTTTACAGTTCAATCAGTATCGCAGATTATTAAAAAATCATTGCGCAACGGTGAATTGTGGGCGTGCACCAACGTTCATATGTAGTAAAAAAGATGTAGTATAAAAATAGAATGACAATCGATAGGCCAGGACGACGCGACGTGGTGTTTGAGTCACTTTCCCCACTCCCGACAATCATCTAGTGAATTGACATGAGTAGTACTATGTATTATTTATTAAAAGATGGAAGAGATATAGTAAGATATATATATACCCTGTTTACAGATAGCTATACACCTCTCTAAACCCGAGGTGTTTTCTATACTAAATATTAAATGAAGGGGAACATCATTGTTTGCTATGTAAAACGAGTACAGATTCATCATGTGGATGGCGAAGATGGGGGCATAGAATGCTACCGGTCAAGTGTGATCGTGTCGCTCAACTGCGAAGCTCAGGGTTCAGGAAAAACCATCTTTATATTTATATTTATATAGACAGTTGGAATTATCAGCGCCATTTCAGGTACAGAACACAACGAGCTATGATTGGGTTGAACAGTGATGGAGAACAAAATTCATACTAGAATTTTCTCGTCAAGTATAGCAGCTAATTCCACACTCGAGCGGCACCTGCTGCAATCGATCACACTGTTCCTGTTCACAAACAAGCATGAATAATAGTGCATATGTACGCAACTTCGATGAAGACAGTTCATTACAATGAGAGTTCATCTTGTACTTCCAATCCCAATCAAAGCAGGAATGCTGGCAAAATGTTATTGCACCTAACTGAAGACGATTGCTCTATGATCAATGTGATAAATTGGTCTGAAAAACCAACTATATAGTATCATGCGAGTACACGATTCTAACCCTGACGAGTCTCCAGAACAGACGAAGACGAGCTGTATTGGTCACGCCTTACCCTTCCTCATGAGGTGGTTATTGATTCGAAAACTGCATTATTAATTGAGATGTTTTTTTATTTCTTTAGTGTACGTACATAGGGATAGTCATACTTTTTCAAGATGGCAGTAGTATACATTCTTATTAACCGATGAGAACGCTTGATTATTGACTATTAGCGTGAGACAGGTAGTTTTATATCCAGTCTGGTTGGTAGTCGTCCTTTGCTGGCCGGTACGGACCATTTCCACCCAATTTTTAGGGCCACTCGGATATTCAAGGTGACAATTTTGTCCTAGTTTGGACAGCTGTCCAATATTCAGTTTGGCAGGCGTTCTGAACTCCGGTCTGCAGGAGTTTGCGACACTCGTGGAAAGTAGTGGTAGTGCGACGTCATTGTTAGTCCAATACGCTTAAAGGATACTGTGTAAGCGACGAATGCCGGTTATTATGCAGATGTGACGAAAGGGTTTCGATCAGACAAAATTATTCCTTTGCGTACAATGATTTGGTATCACACCGGTTTCGAAGTAGATAGATAAGCGCTGACAAGTACTGCACCTTTCTAGTATAAAATGACTATATTTTAGAAAGTAGGTTGCTCACGACCAGAAAACGACTTAGAAAGAACTCGTTGACTCCTTCCATTTTCATTCAGTATACTAGCTACGAGTATTACACCATCGTTCTAAAAACGTATATTGCCGCATTCATCGGCACGTTGGTCAGAATTATCTAAGCTTTAGACCTCACACTTTGAAACTGGGATGGAACTAAATAGTACCGCGTGCGGAACACATATTGTCCGCATTATAGTACTATACGACGATAATCACGTGGACACCCCTTGTAAGTAGGCATCAATTTTCAAATAATTGCAAATATAAAACAGTTACATAGAAATCGAGCATATGTAGTTTCAAGCTAATATTCCTCAATCAAGCAGACGGTCAGTCATTGTACGAAATGTAAAATAAACTTCTTATATATAGAAGTCCTAGTAAACTGCATTTGTCCACCCAGCCGAAATTTACCTTTTTATATTTTATTTAAAAAATTACGTTTGATTCACTTCTATATTCTCAATATTTTGTCTACTCTCAGATTTTTTGATCGTTTCACCCTCTTTGTTACTCTCAGCGACCTCTACGTTTGCCACATCTTCCGTATTGGCAACAGCTGGGTTCTGTCCAAATTCACTATCCGTTCCAGCTACTCCAACTAATCCATCGTCCTTGTCCCCTGTGTTCTCAACAGTCTTCTCGGCGACCTCTACGTTTACCACATCTTCCGTATTGGCAACAGCTGGGTTCTGTTCAGATTCACTATCCGTTCCAGCTACTCCCACTAACCCATTGTCCTTGTTCCCTGTGTTCCCACCAGTCTTCCTGCGCAAACACATCCACAAGGTCTCCATCTGTGACACATCTGCATCGCCGCCCTCTTCTTCGTCCGTTTCTACAGGCACAGCCTTTTTCGAGGGCAAATGCCAACTCATGTCCGCGTTTATTTGCATGCGGAACGAGTATGTGGTCGGCTTAACTATAATCATTTCCCTGGGCTCGAGTGGCTCCCGTTTGATAAAGTCAAATTTGATAGCGTGTCGCTCCTTCCAGATTTTAAACGCTCTGCAGCCACGCGAGTATAAACAAAAAAAATCAAATCAAAAACTTTTGAGCATGTGTATGTTTGAGGCTATTTTCTGCTCGGTGTCAATTAGATCCGAATAGGCCACCAATCAAATGGTGTACAAAGTTGAGCCGCCAACCCTGCACTCCATAGGTCAAATCCGGAGACCGAAGGCAATTGAAGGGGTGAAGATGGGTTAGAAACTCGACCACACTCCTGCGTTTGGATAAGACCGTCATAAACAAGCTTTCCGATTGTTTTCGATAGTGCGTGCGTCATAGGTGATTTGTCTGGGGAATACTAGCCAAGTTGACTGGCTGCTATACTTGTCTCATTAGTTGTGATGCACATGTTAAACCCGGTATCGAAATGTAGACTTTGATGTCAAGTATATACAGATGCTAGATACTTCATCTGCTTAAGTTTCTGCATATAGGTTAGCCACGCAACTTGTTGTCCATAACATAAAATATAATGTCATAAATATAAATATAAATACATATATATATACATATACACACACGCACATATATACCACATAAACACATGAACGTACGTAGGAGTATAAACGCATGTCTTAGACACGTAGCTCACCTGTGCTCGGAAAGGTTGAAATTGTGATCGCGCATCTCGTCGTTACTAACGAAGTCGCCGCCAGGCCCCAATCCCAAAGCAGCATATATCCAGTACCAGTCATCGTTGTTTCCAGAATTGCACGTGTACAGCATGTCTTTCTCCTAGAGTGTGGTTGTTTGTATTGGTGAAAGTGAGTTAGTAAGCCGAATGTAGGTACGTGCGTGTGCGTTTTGATGTACATGCTTCCCTGGCCAGTGAAGCCGTATCCATATGCAATTCAAATATAAGTTTAACATACACCAGTGCACAACTACACATGAGTAGCTCTATTTGCGTACCCATACATAGTGATGCGTGTGCTATTGCTCAGGGCTCATTTAGCAGGTATGCATTCATCTCAAATTCATCATAAGCAAACGATCGTTTGCGTACATGCATATTCATGGACATGTACAACTCTGAGAGATTCAATCATTTAACAAGTTCATACGCGCGTGCAATAAAAAAAACACCTATACGCATATATGCCCAACAACCTTTGCTTATGGCGTGGTTTGGAACAATTTCCCACGACATGCATCCGATGTACAACCGAACGCCCAATTCGAGTTATTGTTGCACATGATAGCACACATTTGAAAACGCATGTAAGGACATACGCACATCTGAATAGCCACAGCCCACAAAGTAGCATGTATCCATTGCGGCCGCAAAACAGACACGCCCGAATGACGGTACAAAAGCAACCTCACAGGTTCTAGCTCATCCCAGCCCAATCAGAACTAAGTGGACAACAGTATATACACGGTCTCTGACAAGAGTTCAGGGACCTATTCGGAGTGGTCTAGTCCACATGCGTACACGTATACACATATACGAACGGGTTTATACCTATACCGGGACGAGCTGGTCCTCAACTACTGCAATACTTTTTTTTTGCGTTCTTCATACTGACACCTATCTGTACTCACCCTCGTTCCAGAGAAAACTACCCACACCAAACGCACAACATAGATCGTACCACTTACCTTCCACACATTCCCGATATCCGTATTCTCGCCGATGAAATCCGGCAGCAGGTGCCTGTGGTGCAGTATCAGCAACACCCGCCGGCCCTCCTGCTCCAGATGACTGACAAGGCGTTGCACCTGTTTGTAGTCAATTCGTGTCGGCACATTGCCGTTGCCGTTCTTCTTCCAGAACCCCACATTGGCCCCGTCAATAACGGTATCAAATCGGGACTTATTCTCCTCAAACCACGCAGTAAACAGCTTCCAATCCCGCGCACGGTCGGCATCCTTGACCACCAAGCCCTCCATCCGAGCCATCAGCGTGCTTATATCCTCCGGCGTGGGATCGACGCTTCTCAGTACACACGCGCACGCCCCACACCCCCCCTCGGGCGATACAGACACCGCGGTGTCCCACGTGTGCGTGTCACGGTAGCGTTTCTGCATTAGCCCCCACGTTTCCTTAGACGGGCTGAACTCGTCTTCCATCAGCTCACGCACCAGCGCGTCAAACTCATCGATCTCGTCCCGCTTTAGAGCCAGCGTCAATAGCGGAAGATAGTCCACCTCCGCCAGGACTTTGAACTTATTGCGGATCAGGCTCAGCACCTCGTAGGCCCGTTGCTTGTTGCCCACCTCACAGTAGCCACGCATGAGCGCACTGTGCGTGCGCAGCTTAAAGTGCACGCTGCGCTCACGCATGGTCTCCAGCACCTGCTCAGCCTCGACTATCTGCCGGGCGGCACACAAGGCACGCAGCAGTAACGTATACGACGCCTCTTTAATTGTACATCCCCGGTCTTGCATGCTCTTGAATAGCCGCAGGGCTAGCTGGGGCCGGGTGTCTGTGGGCACTACCATGCTGCCACCGGTTAGCACGTAGAGTAGTTGATTGTGGTAGCCGCTCTCCATCTCGATCTTGCCGTCGAAGAAAGCCTCGCATATCTGCAGGCAGGCGGTGATGCAGCATTGAGAGATGACTCATTGGGGTGGGTTGCATACTTTCACACTCTAGCTCGCCCGTTGTAAAGGCTAATATGTGTGTCTGCATCCTTCATTGTATGAACTAATACAACATTATATAAACTAATACATCATTACATGAACTAATAGATCATTATATGAACTAATACAACATTATATGAATTGATACATCACTATATGAACTAATAGATCATTATATGAACTAATAGGTCATTAAATGAATTGATACATCATTATATAAAATAATACATCATTATACGAACTAATACATCGATATATGAGCTAATACATACAGCCAATATGATTAGCGACAGGTAGCACAGGCTCTGTCGTTAAGTATTGGCTTCGAGAGACGTGACTTGGAATGTTGCTATGGAGGCCCGCCATGATGCGGAAATATTAAACCGAGTGTAAGCAGACCATGGACACACACTACGGGAAACTTTTAAGACGATTATAATGCAGGCAATATATATGTATATTTGATCGTACTGTTATCCTTCATTAATATTATATATATATATATTATAGTTTTTCAAACAAGAACAGCTTGCACACAACCAAATATTTCATTTAACACTCGAGATTGTATGCTGGCGCGGATCTTTTTAGATTTACACAGGTACACATGGAAGGCGTTGTACATACACGTAAAAGATGTCAAATTCTTACAAAACCAAATCCCCCCCCAAAATACAGACCAAGAAAATGCTGACTGCACCCACAAAACCACACACACAAGCTTGATGTGATTCAAACACATGGCCATCCCACATAACGGCGTGTGAGTATTTCTATATAACAACACAAGCACATATGTCCACAGCAAGTTAAACGTATACGGTTCAAAATAACCAAAACCCTTCAATACATACGAAACTACAAACACATTTTGAATGCACACCAGAAAGGTAGTACAAACAAGTAATTGACCAGACATAGAATCTATGTATATCTGTAACGCAGCATCTTCATATGTATACAAACGCGGCAGTTCACAACATCATGCATAACGTTACGTATGCAAGGATATACGTAGAAAAAATTGAGTGACATTCAACAACAGATACATACATATATACAAATATATTCACAAATAGGTAAATATATGTGTATATATATCCATAAAATTATGAACACAGACGCACACAAATATTATATATATATATATTACGTGTTTATACATACGGGCATGTAGAAAGAAATGGCTATATTGGATATAAACAAATATACGCTGAAGAATATACATACGCATAAGGACACAGTCACACAAACATACGAACACAGACGTCCAGACACACATATATATAACTATAATTAAAATCATAATTATATATATATATATATATAGATATACGTATATACATACACACACACATACATATGTGCGACTATATGAATATATACATACATATACACCCATATCCATATACATTAACATATATATATATATACACATAAATATATACACACACACACACATACATACATACGTACATACACACACACATATATATATACATACATACGTACATACATACATACATACATTATATATATATACATATATATATACACAGATATACATTTATGTATATATGTATGTGTATATAGAGCCATGCCTAAATTATACAGGTCTATATCTATAGTATATATATACTCAGGCACATATATATCATAGATAAATATGTATCATATACACATATATAGACATATACACGGAGACACACACACACACACATTTATATATTAATGAATATAAATATATACATATTTGCATACATAAGATATACACATATACACATAAACGCAAACACAAACACAGCACAAACACACACATTCACACATGCTTACATAAATTCATACATATATAAATTCATACATACATAAATACATACATACATAAATTCATACATACATAAATACATACACTTGTATATACACACACGCACACACACAATATACATATACACTTATATAATAATGATAATAATAATAATAATAATAATAATAATAACAATAATAATTATGTGTGTTGTACGTCTGCACATGGCATACCTCGGTTGCCTCTGCGAGGTTCTGTTCCTTGCAGCATTTGACCACTCTCCCTCGTAATGCAGCTTGCTCTGGGCTGAGTTTCTGTTTCTTCTTCTTCCCTTGTGAGTCTATAAAAGTTGCTTGACGCTTTTGAGCGCCGGTATTTTCTGTCATCGTTCACTTCGCACTGAGGTTGTTACCAAGTATATAACAGTTGGGGAGATAATCTGAGTATAGGCTGGTAAATACTATGTATGATACGATAGGCAGCGAGGTTATTTAGCACTAGATATACTGAGTGTACATATATTTGCAACTACCTTCGTTTACACTGGTCCGATGTATATCGTATAGTATACATAAAAGCCGGTATATATTAACGTATCTCCACAGCACTCTACTTTATTAGAGTAGGGGCCATAAATGAAAAAGTGAAGTATTTCATATAAAATGATAAGCGTAGAACAACGTGATGGCTTTTCCAGGGTTATGTTACAATGGGAACCCTACATTTGCTATTGAAAAAACCTGGTTGTTGCTAAGTAATCTGGGCCGCTTTAAAAACCAAACGAGATATCGCCAATTCGATAAAAACGTACCAATTTCTGCATGAGATGTACCATATAGTGCCATCCATTCTGAAAACGTAAAATACGGGTTATGTAGTGTGCATATATAGTATTATTTGGTTTTTCCACTACAATCAACCGTACAGCACATGGAGTGGTGGAGTACCTACAACTGAGCCAAAGCCAAAACCCAACGCCCTGGGACAAGCGTGCGTTTGTCCGAAGTGATCTGAGTGAATGGTGGGTGTGCAAATGCCAAATAACCTGGTCACCTAAAAAGAAACGAGTATAGCAGAGTTTAAATCCTTTTTCACGTAGTCTCGTATCAATCACCGATTAGCAACATGGCTGCACCCGTTAGTAAGATCCGTAAGGTGTGTACTATGTCCCAAATATAACCACGGAAACATACGCCTTAGAGTAGACCCAAATCACGCTTGCGTTAATATTTATCAAATTGACGTCTTATTTGGGCATCCTGATGCTCTGTCTGTCGATTACAGTCGAGATATGGACTGGAGGGCGGGAAGAGATGCATACATACAATATGCAAGACTGAAAATCTTCAATGATCTATAGATATAGAATTCAATTCAACATATCACCCACGCCGATACGATAAGAGAATCACAATGAAAGCAATTGTTCGGAGATACCAACACCTTTTGGAAAACGCAGCAGTAAATCATTCAAACACCACAATCGAGTGTGTATGTTAAAATATAACGTTAGCTGGCGTAGGGAACATACAAGACGTCATGGATTTTAGACATACATGAAACACACGGACGTTTGCATGGACGCGTAATATACAAGCGATCCTTATGTAATATTGAAATTGTGTATTTAGCCATATACTGGCCATGCACCTTACATTGTATATACTATTTTACTTTTTGCACATAATACTTAATCTACATATCATACACTTCATTACATGCCATCTTAAACTATATAGTTCGTCGCGGATGGTGTGTTCTACGCCGAGTTAAACGAGATGCTCACACGTGAGTTGTCTGAGGACGGTTACTCTGGAGTTGAGGTGCGTGTCACCCCCTCCAAGACTGAGGTCATCATCCGTGCCACCCGCACCCAGAACGTTCTAGGAGAGAAGGTATGTGATATATACGTACGTGTCATGTACTATATTTGGTACATTTCTGATTAATTCATGCCTGTTTGTGTACCCGCGACTTAGATCCGTGATGCAAAACAGCAGTACTATCAAGATGAGAGACTTTATTGTTCTTGTTGGTAAGCTATAGTGTGGCGAGATGAATACTTCGCTCTGGCGCTAGTCCATGATTGCTCAGTTGAACCTAGAATAATATATGTATACATATGTCCATATATATATGCATATATATTTTCATATATATATATATATACATATACATATATACATATATACATATATACATATATGTATATGTATATACACATACATATACATATACATACGTACAAACATACACACACATATATATATAGTATTATACTATATATATATATACATTTATTTTGTAAATTTATATAAATATATACATACACATATTTTGTATATAAATATATATATAAATATATATATTCAAACACACACACACACACGCACATATAGCAATATATATAGAAATATATATACATATATAATATATATATATATGTTTATATTTATCTATGTATTTAAAAATTGCCATATATATGTATTCGGATATATATATATATATTCATATATATATTTATGGTATATATGTATGTATTTAAAACCGACATAAAAACTTACATTTATATATGTATTCACAAATATATATTCATATTTATATTTATAAATTAATATATCTATGTTGATTTAGAGTTAGTTTTCGATTTCGATTTAGACTTAGATTTAGATATGTACAAATACATAGTATAATAGTATACATATTTATATATATATGTATATATGTATAAAAATAAATATATGTATATATATATATAAACATAAATATAAATATAAACATTATATATGAATATAAATATAATTATAAATGTAAATATATACATTATATATATATATATAAAGATAAACATTGTATATAAATATAAATGAAATCGTTATATATATGTTTATGTATATATTGTATGATATAGGTCTCTAATCATTCGAACTGTTACTGTAAGCCTGAAAGTAAACAATCTTCTCTGACATACCAAGTAGAGAATTTTTGTAAAAGCTGGTTTTTGTTGTTTTGTTGTACTGATAGTCCGGTTGTCTACAAACAATATATGTATATATATATATACATATACATATATATATATACATATACATATATATATATATATATACATATATATGTAAATGGTGCATTACATAGTAAACCAACCAAGTATAAGTTGCATATATATCTATATCTTATCAACGCTTTATGATATAGGGACGTCGTGTACGCGAGTTGACCGCTGCCGTGCAGAAGCGTTTCGGCTTCGAGGAGGATGCCATCGCCCTTTACGCCGAGAAGGTCGACCGTCGTGGTCTGTGCGCCATCGCTCAGGTAAACATAGAGATAGTCCTTAATTTTTCTTTGTATTCATTAAAATATAACAAAATACGTATATATATAGGAACAAAGCGAAAACCGTAAAACACATTAATGTATATATGAATATATCTATTTTATATATATGTATACATACATACAAGTATAATTAGTATCTTTATTTACTTATGTATATGTATAAAAATATGTATCGATTTTTTCTATATACGTGTATAATCATATGTGTGTATGTTTTATATGTGTATATACGCGAATAGAGTATACACGCCTGTAAATATTCTAGTACATAGGTACATATTTACGTTATCTCAGAATTGTCGGCCATGTCTTATTTTGTGTGTATTCTGGGACGGACTAGTGTATATATTTCTTAGCCTCAATTGCTGTTGCTTTCGCTCAAGTCCTGTTACTGTAGAATATCTTAACGTGAATTGGTTCTTGTATGTATTACGTATAACGAGTGTGGTCGGTCGCTCATGTGGTAGTTCATCCCGCCACAGTATTTTCTAGTGTATACAAACAAACTAAGTTGCTACAGTACCTCGAGCCATCTTCCACGCTTTGACCTTCCAATAAGCCACACTCAGCACTTTCTAATCACTTCACCTGCCACACCCTCATCCCAACCCCCATCCCCATTCTACAGTGTGAGTCTCTGCGCTACAAGCTGTTGGGCGGTCTAGCCGTGCGCCGTGCGTGCTACGGAGTTCTGCGCTACATCATGGAGAGTGGTGCCAAGGGTTGTGAGGTGGTTGTGTCCGGTAAACTCCGTGCCCAGCGAGCCAAGTCCATGAAGTTCGTGGATGGCCTTATGATTCACTCCGGTCAGCCCAAGAAGACCTTTGTTGATGTCGCCGTGCGTCACGTACTGCTGCGTCAGGGTGTGCTTGGTATCAAGGTCAAGATTATGTTGCCCCACGATGCTCAGGTATGTGCGTGTTTGCGTGTGGTTGTGGGTTGCGAGACGGGTCTGGGTTCAAAGAAGTAGTTTGGGTGTGGACCTGCTAGTCATTATGTCCTAGGTAGGCGGTCTATGAACTATGCCAGACTGTGTACTATATTTATGTTCTATGACTATGTACGAATACCTAGTATCTCGATAGAGGTGGTAAATACATATCTTTATTTTTTCAAAGGGCCCATTTGTCAGAATGTTGGGTGAATTCTACATCTATACCTGTACGCTCATCATATCCCATCCCCTTTCGTCTCCCCCGTATCACCCACCCCCTACAGGGCAAGATGGGACCCAAGACCAACCTTCCCGATGTTGTAACCATTCTTGAGCCTAAGGAGGAGGCTGTCCCCAGCCAACCCACCAGCGAGCACAAAAACGTCCCCACCCCAGCACCAGAGGCCCAGGCCCCGCCCGCCGAGGAACAAGCACAGCAGGAGCCCGTTATGGCTTAAAGCACAAGTGATGAGTACTTCTGTGAGCTATTAAATAATTAAGAATATGTAATTGTGTCGTTGATGGTGGTTCTGCCTGTGTTGTGGTTTTTTAGTATGGGTGGGTGGTGTTATTTAAGGTACTGCTTTAACTATTGAGTAGGGTTGTTCTCTATTGACGGCTGTGTTCACATGCGAGTGTTGTTCATATACACCTGTACATGCACACGTACTTCAACTCGTGACAGTCTGTGGAGGTTTTGTATAAAGTGCTTATGCTTCTCATGCAGAGTTATATATATGGCTACTGTAGCGGCGTGACAAGAGCTATATTTGCTTCTATTGTATTAATAGCGCTGGATATTCGGAGTGATGACAAACTTTGCTCTGATCATATGACTTGATTTATATAGCAATGTATTCGTACTGCCTGACCGATATATCACACTGCACTGTACGCCATGTGTTTCCTAAAAACCTTATGATGGGTATGGATATGCCGTTGTGGTAGGTTGAATCCCAGAGCACACAGCAATTTGTATATGGAATAGAAAGAAGAGTAGTATCTCATGCATTAACCAATAAACGGTATTGATTCAAGCTGTTTCTTCCTTTGTATATATATCTGTCGAGTAGTACTAGTTTTGGTGTATTTACCCAATTTTAAATCTGTTTTACAAATGTATGTTAAGTCTCGTTCTAGATTAAATTGCATCTCAATCGGGTTGATGACACATTTTGCTCTGATCATATGACATGATTTATAAATAGCAATGTATTCGTACTGCCTGACCGATTGAAATGCATATTTGTATATTAGTCATATGTATATGTCCTATGTGTTTCCAACCTTCATCGTGTCTTTGTGGCATGTTCTTTATCTAATACTCGGTCGTCTGGAATGTAATCTCTGGTCTGCTGAGATGTATATAGTCGCTGGTGTGTGTTTTGGTGGGGCTATAGTACTGTTTTTAGCACCCACCTGATAAGCATCATGCATACCGTCTTGGTCGTGTCCAAGGTTGCTTCTGAGCCTCTGGAATCCGTGGCCACCGGTTGTTCGAGCGGATGTATATAGAGCACCACCTTATGTACTTGTAGTCACTCAACGGAACAAATAAATGCGTCTTCAATGCAATTCAAATGTTACAAACCACGGGGTTTTTTCGGTGTCTGATTAGGGCTGGTGTATTTTTTGGGTATTATACGCCCAATAGCTTTACTGAGTACTCTTTATGTGTCGCAATATCGCACGTGACGTGGTTGTAGGTTATGTGCTTCTTACCACCTGGATTATCAACGTATCATTTGTGGTGTACTGCGCTATTCAATGTGCTCTAGGTACAGTAGTATCGCACGACTCGATTTCCATTTCGCACAGTATATGGTGTGCAGGTCTATTCTGTTCAGGTAGTCTACTGTCGCTCTTAGTAGCAATATGCGGTCTGTCTTGAGGTTGCCTGTGATTCTACGCATAGTCTGCCTGTAACGAATGCTCGGGATTCATATTTTAGGCGTACTTTGTCACGGTAATTTGGTCGCGGTCGTGTTTACAAAGTATATTTATGGGTAGTTCTATCTTTCTATGTTTTCTCGCTCTCAGGTTTTCATGCATGCAAGGTTGAGGGTTCAGTATATGTATATATATATATATATATATATATATGTATGTATATATGTATATATGTATGTGTGTTTATATATATGTATATATGGATACGTGTTAATGTATATATATATATATGTGTATATATGTATATATGTATGTATATATGTATATATGTATATATATATATATATATATAAATGTATGTATGTATATGTAAATATATATGTATATGTAGATTAT